TGTATTTCTAAATGTGAATTATTCTTCCTCTGAAGAGAGTTGTTCATGTATAAGGAGTTCTCCAGATCAGAAACGTTGAGTACAGTATTATTGAGATGATTTTCCAAGCTGTTAGACATGTTTTCTAGCTTTTTGAAAACACTGTGTGTTCAGAAGTACGGTGCATGTACATGTACATAAACAATGTAATCCCTTCTATTTGCAAAACTACCCTTAGCACAAAGGAATTTAGGACCCCATAGGGACCAGCCAAGACCATGCTGTGGCCTTGTGTGAGTCATGTTTCCCAGCCCAGCTAATCCTCAACTGTTTATTGCCAGGGACAGTAGGGCTGTGTGATGTTTCAGTGAACTGCACCTTCGTTGTATGGATATCGATTACTGTTACAATTAGTCAGAATGGCTGTGTGATGCTGAATCATGACTCGACTACATCTACCTGTATGTCTGTAGTGCTGATATCAGTTTTACGGTGTATCATCGGTTCCAGTTTCTTAGAGAGTGTATCTCCTTGGTCAATGCATACAATATGAAGAACAATGCATGCATGCGTCACGTTCTTCACATGTTCTGGACTACTCTCTCATTTCCTGAGAAGTACCCTCCAACGTCCTTTTAACTGGCCATAAGCTCCCTCTGTGGTCATTCGGCTTCTGCTAAGTCTGTAGTTGAAGTAACATTGTCAAGGTGTTCTCACTGAACTTGTGTAAGGGTTCATCAACCATGAGCGCATCAGGAATGCTGAGTCACCCAAAATAAGTGGGCCAATTGCAATGTTCTCTACTTGAGCTGTAATTGGAGGAATTATTCTTCCGTGTTGAATTTGCTCCCACAAACTTGTTGCCTGGAATATTATCAAGTCATGTGAGTTTCCTGGAAAGCCACAAGAGGCCCATATGAATCAATATTTTGCATCGACCATTCCCATTAAAGCTAATTAGTAGAAGTTCTTGAAGTTGTAGTATTCTCTGCGTGCCTCCAGCCCTCCTGGTGGGCATTGGATTGGAATATGGCATCCATCAATAGCTGCCCAACAGTAAGGAAACTGCCACAATTCCATGTCCAACATTTTTGTTACGAACTCATTTAGTTACTGAAATGTCCCCCATGTTTCTGATGATTTACACAAATTTCATTAACAATTGTTGAGACAGTAGAAGCACCAACACATGTCATTTCCGCAATAATTGTAATCACCTCTGGCTAGTCTGTAAAGACAAATTCCTAACCTGTGCCTTGGAGATATGGGGATTTCTGTCATTGTGTTCCGCTCCAAATCATGTTTTATGTGTGACAGGCTGAATTCAAAGATTCCTTTTGAAACACGAAATGCCATTTTGAATCTTTTCTCAGAGTTGGTATTTAGCATCAATTCTAGCCAACCTGTATTCCTGACCAACCGTCGACAAGGCCGGGGTCTTGTAACATTTTCCCTGGAAAGGACGAGTAGTAGGACAAGTGAATATGCGATTAGAACTCTCCTTGTTGCAATAACATTGAGTAGTACTGATTGTTGCAAGAGAAACCGTCTTCTTCTCACAATGAGAATTTGTTGCAATATCATTCTTTTTCAGTCCGCCATGTTGTAATTTTGCATTAAGGTCAACAGAAAACTGCCGTTTAAAGCAACTGCCGCTTTTATGTGGATCGCAATTAATTGAATTAGACATAGTAGAAGTTCAGCGTTTGAAGCGGGCCTTTAAAAGGCAAATATTCAGTGAAGTGTTCAGACTTTTTCAAAGATAGATTTGCGTAGGGGAGATGCCCGCTGTGCATTTTAACACTGTATACTCAGTGTATGTACTAGCGGGTACTGTGAACAACTATTTCAAAGATGGATTTGCACCAGGGGGATGTAAATTAGGTTTTTTTTCCCTGCCTGACGTGTATTTTAACACTGTATACTCAGTGTATGCCCCCAATGATTTGTGAAAAACCCACAAACATACTAGGGTGGGACTAATTAATTTACATCTCCCTGGTGCAAATCCATCTTTGAAATAGTTGTTTCCAGTACTCGCTGCTGCGAGTATACGGTATTTAAATACATATCGGGTGCTACTACATCTGATTCGAACCAGCCAGCCGACACCGGCAAGTTTAAGGTGTTTAAGACATCTGCACTAGTAAGCAGGAGGTCGTGGGTTCAAGTCCCACCCAAGTACGTCTGTGGTTTTTTCACAAACCTTCAGGGGCATACACTGAGTATACAGTGTTAAAAATACACGTCGGGCAGGGCAAAAAAACCCAAAGTAAGTGTTCAGGCTTGTCTTCATCTTTACTTGTCCCATCCTCAAGTGTCTGAACAATTCTTTGTCTTTTCTAAAAAGATGGGGGAGCTAGTTAAACTAATGACCATTGATGTCATTTTTGGCATAACAATTCCTCCATTTGTGACCAAGTTAACCACAATGATAACAATGGAATGCCTGAGTCTCACTGCCATAATAACTCGTACGTCTGTTCAGATTTTCAGGTTTAGGCTGTTTGGCATTTCAACTACACTATTTCTGCAACTTGCACTAAGTTGAAGATTTTCTACCTTAGCCGTCAAATCTTTAACAATGCCAGCAAGAACATCTAATTTTGATTCCAGCGTCTGACTCAAATTGACAGTGTGCACATTGCTTGATTCAGATTCTTTTTGCTGTTTGTAGTACTGCAACAGCAGAGCAAGCTGCATTGAGTGACTCACGGAATATTTTCGGTTCTTTAGAAAAGACAAATGCCCGAATAGATGGAATTAAGCCATGTACGAACAATGATAATTGTTCTGACTCTTTTTTAATCTGCTTACACAAATGCATTATGTCACAGGCATAATCGTCAAGAGATTCTGTGACAAGCTGTTTATTTGCTAGCAGTTTTGATTCCACACCCCAATGCCATGAATCGCCTTTAAAATGGATTTCAAGATAAGGTGAATTTTCTCAAAAGTATCTTTCACATTCACTTGTTGGAATAGATTCCAACAATACCGTTGTATGACCATCTATTACTTAGTGTCTGGAAAGCTAAAACTTTCTTGGAATCTGTATAATCTCGTAACACAGCAATTTCTTTAAACTTCTCCACGAAATAATCTAAATCTTCCTCTGCGGAGCCCCTGTATTTTAACAGTTGACAAATAATACTTGTCATCATATCTATTTTCTTATCCAAATCTCCCTCATTCATATAGAAATACCATATCATAATACAAAAATAAACACAAAAGAAATTCATATAGTCTACTGCCAGCCATGAAAATCATACAGTATTTATTGTCAGCGTCACTTATTTACAATTTTTACTTACCTAAATAAGGCAAGGGTAGCTGGTCCTTGTGTGTTGTCCGTCGGCAATGCCCTGTTTCATGCTTGTGAGAATGAGACCCAGATCTTCCACCGTTTGTTGTGTCATTTACATCAAGGTTCCAGGATCATGAGAAAGCAACACCAAAGAAGAAATTCGATGAAAACTGTACTCAGGTCTAAATCATTTATTAACTCCAGAACTCGCATTTTGAAGAACATAATACAGAAATGAATCGAACTAGGTGGGTGCTGTCGACGGTTCCCTCGGACCAACAACCTCGAGCGCAGCAACGAGGCTGAAATATAAAGACACTATTACGTAATCTAACTAACAAATGAAAAGGCAATTTCACCTATCTGGTGTATTCAAAATACATGAAGAATGTTTCACACCACTAGTAATACAGAAAAAAGGATAAAATGAGTGGCAATAAGCGAGAGAAACATCACTGTACTCCCGTCATGCCAGTGTGCATGTTTCTATATGCCTGCAACACAGACAGTCGGCAAAGTTGAACTGGGCTTAACTTTGCCAATCCGTCTGGGCTGGTTGGTATTATTGGCGATACTGCCATTTGTCATTTCCATATATCTGCAGTTGGCGTCTTGATTGCATTGCTCTCTACATTTCTTACGTGGACACGGAAAAACAGGCTTAATACTCAATGTGGTAGGGACAGCTCAGTACACATAATATACAATACAATGTCAATGACAGTCCAATTTTTCACAGAATGCAACATACATCGTATGGAGAACCAAAGAAGTTTGTCATCCTATTGCCAACCTATGAATTATCTAGTAGTGACGTGGTACATGTACAAGGTCACTACTTGATAACTCGTAGCAAGCATAGTGGACCTATCAACTCTGTGCCATTGCCAGCTACGAGTTACCTTGTAGATATTTTCTCTCCATAGAGTATTTAGAAATGAACATACAATGTACTACAACCATAGAGGAAGGACACCGAAGGAGTTTGAACTGCCTGGGCTGTAACATCTGGCCAATTACCACTCTCTGGCATGCCTGGTATGTCCATAGCCAGAGCGCAGTGAACGCTTGCTATGCACCGTCTGTTTAACAACCATGAAACCCCTTTGTACCCTATGATCGTCGCCGCATTTTGTCGATGGTAATCTGCGTCCTTAAGACTTTGTGTACCGAGGTATAGAAATTGAATATTTATGCCTTTGGTGGTGCTTGGTATGATCCATAACATCAAATTTAATGCTTGCAGAGTTTCTTGCATTACGCTGTGTGCCCTAAATGCAGTTACTGCCCTTAATGAACTCTTTCTTCTGGGGTTATTTTGGGAATAAATAGGCCAGTTGTCTACAAGATTTTCTGTTTTGTTTGAATCATTTTTATCATGGCATTCGTACAAAAGCATATTTTATGAGATTTCACAATCACTCCTTGTGATGAAATAGCGCATTTTGTTGCTAATGAACTAAGCTTTCCAGTGGTAGTGAACACTTCGTGGGCCAGTCTTAGCCGAATTCATATCAAGTCTTTGAACATTGATGTATTGGACGAAGGAGAATAAAATTACTAACTTTGCATGGATAATGGAACAGTGTATCAAAATTTTAAAAAGTTTATTTACAATGGCAAAAGTAGGTCTGATATCAGGACTTTTTCTCGCTCTGGTTCCTGGTCACATCGATAATTTACATTTAATTGCAAGCAAAACACTACAAGTATTGCTAGGATATTAATGGCTGCGCTTGTCCAGCTAAGTTACAGGCAGTAATCAGGCATTTTTGGAATGTTTTCTTTTATTCGTCTGACTTGGTGGTGACCATCACTGAACACTTTGAAGTGCCTGAGTTCATGGACAAAGGACACAGAAGGAGTTTGAACTGCCTGGGCTATAACATCTGGCCAATTACCACTTTCTGGCATGCCTCGTATGTCCATAGCCAGAGTGCAGCACATGCTTGCTACGCACCACCTGTTTTGCAACTATAAGCCCTTTGTACCCAATGATCATCACCGCAATTTTTCGTTGGTAATCTGCATCCCTAAAACGTTGTGTACTAAAATATAGGGAGTTGAATATTCATGCCATGGTCGGTGCTTGATATGATCTGACAACAACATCAAATTTAGTGCTTGCGCAGTTGCTTTTATTAGGCTGTGTACCCGAAGTGTTCATGTGCAGTCATTGCCCTTATCAAATGTTTTCTTCTGGATTTCTTTTGGGATAAAAAAATAGCCCAGCTGTTTGTATGATTTTGAGTTTTATTTGAATCATTTTATGATGTAATTACCACAAAAAAGGTATTTTTAAGATCTCATGATCACTCTCTGTGATGAAATTGTGCATTTTGTTTTTCATGAACTTATTAACTTTCCTTTGGTGTTCAACATGTTGGCCAGTCTTAGCCAAACTCGTACAAGGACTTGGAAAACTGATGTTTTGGAGTGACAAAATAAAATTACAAACATACGCATAAATAATGGAAAGGGCATCAAAATCCTTTAAAAAAAAATTTCAAAACAGCAAAAGTAAATCTAATGTTAGATATTTTTTCTTTCTGTTTCCTGGTCACTGCAAGTTGTAGTTGATTCCAAATAAAACACCACCAATATTGTTGCGATATTACTGGCCCCACTTGTCTGGCTAAGCTACAGGCAGTAATCAGGCATTTTGGAATGTTTACTATTGTTTGTCTGACCGGGCGGCAATGATCATCGAGCACTTTCATGTGCCAGACTTGTAACTCCTGTGTCCTTCCTCCATGCTGAGTTGCAACTCCTGTGTCCTTCCTCGAAGCTTAAACATATAAACACCTAAAAAGTACTACAAATATGCATGTATGTGTACAATGCTTTGCAAATAGGAATGCCCTGTGAAATTATACGTGGCAGTCAATGTGTTAAGTCAGTTTTGAAAACAGGACAGTCTCCAGATCAATTTGACAAAGCTCACCATGTGAACGGTTTTGCAGATCATGCCACATTCAGTATGTGTCAAAACTGAAACTGTTTATCTAACAACATTGGATACTTGCAACCCAACATAAATCAAACCAGCTCCGTCTGACCGTTTGAAGATGAATGTAAATGCTACTTTACTTGTATTATCAGGAAATTTGCAATTTCACTCTGTCTGTACCTGTTTTACCTACAGCAAATAGCTTAGAACAGGCCATTCCCTGTATCTAAACTATTGCAGAAAATATTTTAACAAGCTGTAAATTGATCCAAATTATGCACTCACCTGGATTCCTTTTGATTCTGTCAATACTCCTACTTTTACATGTATTTCCAAAATTATTCATACCTCTTGCCAACTGTGGTGGTTTTCTATTTTCTTAAAGCATTTGAACTAGACTGGTGGAACTGTGGCTTTGCTTTATGACCTTTAGTTGGTATGTACAAACCTCCATTCAAATTGAAGTAGAAATATTGGGATTTTGATTTTTCAGGCCTGACCATAATTATTCATACCTGTTTCTGGCCTCAGAATTAAGGATATTGTTGGTGACATTGCAGTTGTCTACAATTCCACACTCATCTGTCCTGTTTTAGAAAATTCTTAGAACATTCCAGTTGCCACAGTACAGATCATAAAAAATACAAGCAGTTCCACACTGTAAAACCCTCCAGGGATATAGTCGAAGGTCATAGGCATGTGCCTCGTCTGGTAAGAAAAGTACTGCAGGAGGCCAACAACAATCCACAAATCACCACCAAGGCTATCCTGAAGAATCTGAGGGTTATGGGGCCAAACGATCGAGACAAACAATCTAGAGGACTTTGCACAAGGGGGTGGGGTCTCCATGGACGACAACCAAGGAAGACTCCACTCCTCAAACCATGGTACACAAAAACTAAGCTATCCTTTGCAAAAACTCACCTGGAAAGAGATCTAAACTTTTGGTTGTCAATGTCAATGCTACGGTTAAGGTGGGATCAACGTCGAGCCATACGGATGTGATGGCTTTCGTTTGGTCAAAGAAATGTAAAGCATTCGACCCGAAAAACACAATCTCATCAGTTAAGGAAGGTGGAGGGAATATAATGTTTTGGGGAAGTTTCAGTCACTAGGCTGGGCAACTTTGTTGAAGTGGATGGCATGAAACTTGGGAAGTACATCAAGATCTTTGAGGAAAAAGTCAAACTGTCCGTGAAAAACTTGGGCCAGGATACCACTGGACATTCCAACAACAAAAGTACCCAAAACATATGGCCAAGTTAATTGAAGAAAAGTAAATGTTTTGGAGTGGCTAAGCCAAATTCCAAATCTGAAACCAATTGAGAATCTGTGGAAGTTACTCAAGACCCAAGTGATAGCAAGGAAACCTTCCAACCTCAAGAACCTTGAAACCTGCATGTACATGTATGCAGGAGAGAAGTGGGCCAAAATCCTTGTGGAGATGTGCAAGAACATGTTAGTATATACAAGAACCGGTTGGAGGCTGTGATTACAAAGCCTTCACTGTTGACAACTAAAAAAGGCTATAAGTAGTTCTGGACATGACAATTTTCAGTAAATACCTCAAATTAAATACCCCAAATACTGAATATCTTCAAATATCTCTTGCATTACTTCCTACAGCCTTTTGTCGCCTTCTTATGTCACTTAATCAAGCATAAACTCATTCCTCAAATAAAACATTCATATTTCCTGAACTTGGCATAGGTATGAATAATTTTGGGCATAACTGTTTATGTTGCAGACTCACAGTCAGCCAAGGAAGATGATGAAAACAGGCTCATGTTTTAGAGATGTGTTGCTTTCATTGCACAATGGGAGTAAGCCAACTTGACAAGATTCACAACACACACACATTTAAGATTAACTTAACCTCGACTTGATATATCAGAGTGTCAAGAAAAAGATTGAAGTATTTGGTCACATCACTAACAATAATGTTAAAGCATGTAAACCATGTACAAAAACATCACAGGATGATTCTTCACTCCATGGAAGACTCCAAAAATGACAACAAAACAAAAATGCAAGAAGTAATAAAATAAATTTAGAATGTTCACTAATGTCTAATACAAATTTCACTAATTTCATTCTCTGTTTATTTCCCTGGTAGTAGAACTGACTGTTGTGTTTAGGGACACTAACATATTGCTGGCCTCAGCAAGGTCACTAATGGACACCCTTCCTCTCTGGTGCATAAACTTAGCAATGCCTTCTAATTCCCCTTGGGAGATGAAGATAAATTTACCCCGGTCATCAATAACTCCAGTAAGAAAACCCTGGTCTTGCAAATCTTGAACACGATGAATAGCCTCCTGAAATAAAGTGAAGTCGGTGGTCATTCATTTTGATTTTACATGTACATTTTGAAGAATTTTACAAGTACACCTTTAAAATATAGTAGATTGGGTATTACAATTACTCGAAACCTCTCAATGAAATATTCTGCCATAAACTCTCCCCCACCAAGAGTGGGACGAATCTACAACTGCATACCTACCAGATTACCAATACATATGCATTTTTCCCTAGTCCATTACTTCAATTCGCTAAATTCTTGATCACCAGTAGTGCGCCCTCAATCACTCGACTCCCACGAAGGTGGCCACCATGTCCTCTTTTTTAACGCGCAAAGTGCGCCGAGGATGCGAGGGAAGGAGGGAGGGAGATTGGTAATTTGGTAGGTATGCAGTAGTAGACTCGTCCCACTCTAGGTGGGGGAAGAGTCTACTGCCTGCAACCTACGCAACTTAATAGCGGAAACCACCCACCTGGCAATAGTGTCTCTGAAGGCTGCACAGTGAGGCTTAGTAGATGTATTGAGTAAATGAGTTACTTGCCCCCGGATGTCCTTAGTCCATTGGAGGTACCATTTGAGTGTCCAGAAATGACACCAGAGTTTATCAGAGGTAGATGAGGCTAACAACCAGATGGATGGGACGAAGATGTCTGGTGGTTGAAATGTGGGTGTTTGGTTCTTGGTAAGAAAGCCAATCTCTGGAATTAGACGGACCCCAAGAGGCTCCCATTGAATATGCCATCAGCAATGGACAGCGCTTTAATTTTGCAGCCTCGACGAGCAGTGACGGCGGCTAGAAGAAGGGGAGGTTGTCCTGCCAGTTCGAAGGGAAGCTAGCCAAAAGTCGAAGGACATCCCCCAGATTCCAAGAAGGGACGAGTCGATGGGTTTGGGGACATTTGATATACATGCTTCGAAGAAGATGATGGATCACAGAGTTGTTAGAGATAGAGGCATCCATCGGGAAACCCACCGTGCATAGCCACTAGAGTCAAATGGTAGTTCCTGATTGTTGAACCAAGGAGGCCAGACCAGAGCAGATACAAGAAGAACTCTGATACAAGGGAAAGAGTTGCTTCGGTCGGATTTGCAGAATGTTGTCTAAACCAGGAGTAGAAATGTTGAATGCGGCTGTCACAGATCTTTCTTGTTGACAGCCGTCTACTTTTGGCAGCCAGGGCAGTAGCACCTAGAGAAAGCCCTGCCTGCTGGAATGATTGTCAGACAATATCCAACATGTTAGGTGTAGGGTGAAGAGGATCAAGATGGAGATGGCGAGAGCCGGGTTTGGAAAAACACGTCATGGCGCTGTGGCAGCAACAGGGGAGTGTTGACCAACAGCCTCATGATGCAAGGAAACCACGGTTGCCTTGGCCAGTATGGAGCGATGAGAAGAATTTGGCAATGTTCTTTCTCTATCTTCGAAAGGACCCTTGGGATCAGCGAATCGGGGGGAAAGGCAAAGGCTAGGAGACCTTCCCATGAGATGTGCAGAGCGTCAGTCGCAAATTAAGTGCAAAATGTTGGGAGTTGAGCATTCAAATGAAGCACAATGTTTCTTCTTTGGTGCTTAGAAGAATGATGCGAGGAAGACAAAACCACAGATGGTTTGTGTTTCTTCCCCAAGGAATTCCCTGAATCAGACCGTTGGCCAGAAGGAGGCTCGGGCTGCGTGTCCGCAGGAAGCAGGTCAGAAATAGCCGGAGGCCAAAAACCCTGATGGAGAAGCAAGCCTAAAGGTTTGGGGGGGGCTCGGCGGCAGGAGGAGTAGGCGAGGCTACCAAAGAATCCGACCCAGTTGCCGTAACTGAAGGCAAACCCTGGGCGGGCTGAAAATGGGACGAACCCACTGATTTCTTGGTCACCAAACCGCAACAAGAAGCCATCATTGAGGGTAGGTGAGAGGGAAATTCCCCAAAAGGCAAGAAAGTAAACCTTGCTCAGCCGCAGCAAGTGTATGCACACAACAAACAGTCAATGTAGGGGTATACCAACCGCTACACAGACTACATGACGTGTAATATGGAGTAGGCAGAGTCACGCCAAAACACTGTGACTGTCAAGAGGAATGATCTGGACAAGAGTGCACAGAATAAGCAAAGTAGTGCTATACTGGCCCAGTATTAGTACTTCAGGCAGTGGGCGGGATTAAACATGTTCCAGAATAAAAGTGGACGTGTAGAATGAGTGGGCAAAGAAGTACACAAGCCTGTAGGTAAGCAGAGCAGAGCAGTGGCTGGCTGGGACAACCAACCAATGCCACGACCACTCACAGAACCCTGCAGTATGGTGCTGCCAGACCAGACGGCAAGCCAAAGCGAGTTGCCTGTGCCATCTAAGTAAAGGGGCGTAGATGGGCTGGTAGGTTGCTAGGTGCTGGAAGACAGCCTGCAGGGAACATCTAAGCACTTAGAATGCCCAAGTGCTGTTACCAGACTGGATGGTAAGCGAAGCCGTGCCAGAATAAATAGACAAATGAATTCAATTTTATTCTAAATTAAGAAATATATACAAGAAACAAACAGCACCACTGAGGCAAAGTCTGGAAAGGAGGTTAACAAAAAAAAACAGTCTGCCACCTTGGGCAAGACTGAAAGGAATGGCACAAATATGAACAAATGTAGGGAAAAAAGAATCGTTCCATCCTTATTCACAAGGAGTCGAGTGAGTGGGGGCGCACTACTGGTGATCAACAATTTAGCGCATGGAAATAATGGACTAGGGAATAATACACATGTATTGGTAATCTGTGTAGATTGCAGGCAGTAGACTACTGTTTTTAATGAACTGCATTTATGGTGGACTGTCATTTAAAGTAAGAATTAAAGAACAACAATCCTGCGAACAATCTTCTCAGGTACTATGTGAACTTTGCTCCATGTACGCATACCCTGATTATTAATAATATTCAGAGACAACAAATGTTTATTATGACAGAAACTTGGAGCCCTATACATGTACCTGTGTCTTCATGTTGAACTCTGCCCCAAGATCCTCCAAAAGTACAACTTTGTTTTCTGTGATGTAATTGATGAACTCTTGTAGTAGATTTTGCGACTGCATCACAACATGAAACAAAGGAAAAGAAGCAAAGGAAGGGAAAAAGGAAGGTAACAAAGAAAAGGAACGAGAGGCCATCTGTATGTTTGCCAACAGAACAGAGGGGTATCTTAAAAATGTACTTTTGCATTGGTCAAGTGGTTAAGAAGCTTACAAGCTTCTCCTGCTTACTAGTGCAGACCTTTCAACCACTCAACCACCAAGCTTGCCGGGGTCGGCTGGCCGGTCCGACTCAGGTGAAGCAGCGGGTACTGCAAACTATTTTCAACACGTATTTTTGCATTGGGGAGAAGTTAATTTATA